GATATCCTCGTCGCTGAATGTGAGAGCGTCCTCGAGTATGTAACCTCGAGTTCGCTTTTCCCTGGTGATGGATATTTTTAGTTCGTTTGACAATGGGTTCCTGTGGAACGTCGACTCCCCCAACAATCATGTGGATGACATGTTGTGGTTCTTCTGTTTCATTTTTCCTGTTCGCCTCTCTTTCCCAAAATTGAATTTTGGCTCGGTCGTTGAGGAACTCTCGGAGGTGCCCTTTGCTGATTAGTCGGGCTACTTCTTCTCGGAGCTGTCTGCAATCTTCGGTCCTATGACCATGTGTATCGTGAAACTCGCATACCAGGTTGGGGTTCCTTTGTGACGGATCTAATTGTACGGGTTTTGGCCACCTGGTTTCTCTAATTTTACCGATGGCAGAGACGATGTCTGAAACATCAATGTTGAAGTTGTATTCGGACAATCGGGGTGCCTCCGTCGGTCCTGTTTGTCTGTCGAATCCGACTCTGCCCACGAGTCCCCGAAGATTCTGACCTCGGTCTGTCCTTCGATCATTTTAGGGTATGTTACGCCTTGGGGCGTTTCTTCGATCTTCAGTGTACGGTTGATACCTTTCCTTGTTTGGCCTTGGTTCCTTTGCCAAGAGCCTGCTAGGATATACTGAGCCCAAGAGGGCTCCTAGTTGGTCGTCCTCGACCCTGATCTTCGACTGATATCGGTTGTGGACATCCGACCAAGTCACGGCGGGATATTCTACCAAGTTCTCCTTCAGCTGCTTCGAAGATACTGAGCTTCGTTCGTTTAAGCCTTGAGTGAAGGCTTGTACTGCCCAATCATCGGAGACCGGTGGTAATTCCATTCGCTCCATTTGGAAATGATATACAAACTCCCACAGCATCTCGTCTTCTCTTTGTTTGATCTTGAAGACGTCGGATTTTCTTGTAGCAACCTAAATGGCACCGGCGTGTGCCTTTATAAAAGAATCTTCCAGCATGGCAAATGAATCTATTGAATTCGCGGCTAGGTTGTGATACCACATCATGGCCCCTTTTGAGAGTGTTTCTCCGAATTTCTTCAATAGGACGGATTCAATCTCGCCGTCCTTCAGGTCATTCCCCTTTACAGCACAAGTGTAAGCAGTGATGTGCTCGTTGGGGTCCGAGGTTCCGTTGTACTTCGAGAGATCAGGCATTCTGAATTTCTTCGGAATGGGATTTGGAGCAACATTTTGTGGGAATGGCTTTTGTACGAACTTCTTCGAATCTACACCTTTCAGGATCGGGGGTGCGCCCGGAATTTGATCGAACCTTGAATTGTAGGTCTCCACCTTTTTGTCGTTGGCTTATATCTTGTTTTTGCCCGATTCAACCCTCTTCGTGAGGTCCTCGAGCATCTTTTTGATAGCGGGATCGGCTGCTGACCCGTTGTTGCTTGATCTTTCTGGTACTTGTTCGGCTCGGGGAGCCATTTCCGGTGCTGCTGTGCTCGGAGTTTTTTGGTGGCTCTACAGTTGAGCGATCGCCAGCTGTTGTGCCTGCAACATCTCAAAATGAAGTGAAGGCTAACCTCTCGTTCCTCCCGAGCTGGAGTTTTCTAAGCTTCTTGTTGGTTTTCTTGGCGTATACTCCTGTTATTTTGGGAGCTTATATCAACGTGTTGGGCGTTGCGCGAGACCACGTCCACGGAAATTGGTTCTGGTGCATCCTCAGGGTTTCGCGGTGGTACACTGATGCCTGAAACAGCTACGCCATTCTCTCCATGGTCCTCAGGACCGTTGTTCTCATGTGCATTCACTGAGTTTGACATTTTGACCTGAAATCAAAGATTCTTGGACAAGAAAAAGCGTGAAAATAACTTGCGCTATGTAGTAAACTAGCAAGAAAACAATCACTATTATTTTTAGCCCCACGGTGGGCGTCAAACTGTTTACTTTGAAAATGGTAATTATAATTAGATTTGATTTTATGGTTCTAAAAATACGTGATTTATTTTTATGCTAGTTATTAGGCGGTGGATGCTAAGTGTGAAACTAAAAAATAAGATAAGAGCTTGAACTTAGTGTGACAAGCAAACCGAGTGACCGAAAATCGGGACCTCGAGCTAGGCTATACGGGACCTCGGGATCGAGCTAAACGTTAGGTTGTGGTCAGCCGATGAAGGATTAACAGTTCTGAGAGCTTTGACAGGGGCTCTTTATGATCAATGATGAGTAATGAATGAAGAACAATCAATGACAATAAATGTAAGCAATGTAATGAATATAAGCAATAAACTCAAGGGATAATATATTTAAGTTAGAGAGCAGAGAATGTTCTTGTTCTTGTATTAAATAGCATGTGTGCAAAAAATAACAAGGATCCCCTTTATATAGGAGGGGGAATTCCAACACAGTACAGGTGCATTTATTACAAAGATATGCGGCCGGTACATCCATTTAATGTCACGGTACGGGTTTGTACTAGCCTAATAGACTTGGTCAGCTTTAACCACGTGCCTTGGGAACTTCCTGTTTGTTCGTCATGGTCATCGATTTGCACTTCCCCGAGGTCGAGCATTGAGGACCCTCGGGGTCGAACCTCGAGCTGAGCCTCGAGCCTCCTGGATACATGCTTATGAAGCGTCATAATAATCATAAAATCGGACCATACAAGTTCGAATTTATCTTGAACCTTGTTTGACTTTCCCTTTTCGTTATGCTTTTTTATTTCCTTTGTTCCGGTCATTTTCCTTTTTGGCTACCTCCCAATTTTCTATTTGTCGTTTATTATTTTTTAAATTTTTTCCCTCTATTCTATTATTTTATATGTGATCTTTAGCAAGAATACTCAAAAAAGAGTTTCCAAAATTTAAATTTTTTTTTATAAAATGAGCATTTCTCTTAATCTTAAATCTTTTACTAGTTTTTTTTCTTCAAAAATAAAAAAACTTGGGCTTGACAGGAATTTTGAACTGAGATCAAGTTTAATTTTTATAATTTCTTTTTAAATATAACATAAAATTTTGTGATATTCTATGATTATTAAATACAATTTAAATCTCTTTACTATTAAATTATGATGAATATTTCGCAAGCATTACCAAGAAAAATACGTGATTTATGATTTTAATTTTTGGGATCTTGTAGTTTATCTAATTATATATTTACTTATGGGATATAATTAATCTATTGAAGAATTTTTTTTTTCTTATTCTGATTGGTGAAATTTCCTTTATTCAAGATGTTATTTTACTGGTGCAAATTTATTTTGAGCATGCAAAAAAGATGTAGCGGGCGTTTGGACATAAGAATTGTAAAATTCCAAAATATGGGGAAAAAATTTTCAAGTGAAAATGGTATTTGAAATTTAGAGTTGTGTTTGGACATGAATATAATTTTGGGTTGTTTTTGAAGTTTTGTGAGTGATTTGAGTGAAAATTTTGAAAAATTACTTTTTGGAGTTTTTCAAATTTTCGAAAATTTCCAAAATGCATCTTCAAACGAAAATTGGAAAGTTTATGAACAAATGCTGATTTTGGGAAAAAAAAATTAAAAAAAAAATTGGAAAAAAGAGAAAAATTTCTTATGTCCAAACGGGCTCGTAGTTCTCTAATAAAATTATTAATTTTACTTCTATTGTTAATAATAAAGGCGCGATTCCTTCTTTTAAAATGCTAATTACGTTTGCTTCTTGATGTTCGAGATGTAATTTTCATACAACAACAACAACATATGTAGTGAAATCCAACAAGTAGGGTCTGGGAAGAAATATAATTTCATATTTGCAAATAAAAAATGCCAATTAAATTGCCCGAATAAGTAAAAAATTAAACCGAACATTTGGCCTCGACTTCGTTGAAAAGCAATCCTTAGTTGTAATCTCCCATATAGGATCAAAGCCAATCTCACCAAACAAATGCTAGCTCCCACCTAAAGATTTTCGCTTAATGTTTCATTTCTGTCTTCCACTATAATGACAATAACAAAAACAGACAACAGTTTGAATTGCATTGTCCTATGTTCAACTGTGTAAATTTTGCATAATCTCAGACATTTAATTTTCGTATTAACAAAGTATGCCATGTGCTATGATCCAAGTATAGATTAGACTATGTTTGAATATTGAATATTCTATGCTTAGTAAGATCATAAGTCCCTTCCCATTTGCTTACGCTATTCCTTTGACGATATTATAGCAGAACTTAATCTACTCCCACGTTAAATGGTTCCCTACCAAACCTAGCACGTGCATTTACTCGAGTTTGTCAAATAGTTTATGAAAATTTAATAGCGTACGTATTGGATTATGCATCCACTGGTTTAATTCATTCACCCATGGCTTAACGGGGAAGAAGACCGTTGACCTTACGTATGAGCTTACCTGCTTGACTTTCCAGATTTTGTCCTGCAATTTTCAAAACCACATTTATTCACACCATGAGGTTATCTCCACTCTTGTTTCTTTTCACTCTTTATTTGATTTTCTTAATCTTACACTGTGTGTTAAATTGTACCATCAAATTTGATGTTTCCTTTTAGTTTATTTTTGGATTGATTTTATTATATTCTCATTGGACTTCACTCTCTCTGGTTGTTTTTTATTTATTTATATAACTTGCAAATCAGATATATGTTCCACCGTTGTTTAGTTAAGATTAATTGTTGCTTTCCTTTGTGCTTCGAAGGTGTTTGATTTGATTCTGAATGTTGTCAATAAGCTCTCTTTATGCCATTTGATTGGTATTTAATGGCAGTTGTGGAGGTAGAGCTTGAACTTGCATGTGTAGGTAGTTGAATTTTTCTTAAAAATATATAGGACTCCATAATTTTACTTAGTTTGGACCTACTTCTACAAAATACTAGTAATATTGAGTGCATCGGTCTGCATTAGGCTAGGCAAACGGGCTAGTCGGCTCGAATATGGTTCAGGTCGAAAACGGGTAATGAAAAAACGGATAAATTATTCGATCCGACACATATTTAATACGGATAAAAAAATGGGTTAACCGGCGGATATTATGGGTAACCATATTATCCATGACTTCTTGCATATGATCACTTTTGGGAGAATTCTTAGTCTCCCTAATTTGAGGAACCCTCAATTTGAGGCTTTACAAATGTAAAATTTAGACTAATTGGTTATCCATTTACCTATTGGTTATCTATTTTCTAATTGGATAATATGGTTCTTATCCATATTTGACCCACCCGTTATTAAAAAGTTCATTATGCAATCCATTTTTTAGTGGATAATATGGGTGGTTAATTATTTTCTTTTAACCATTTTGCCACCCCTAGTCTAGTCTGCATCAATGAACTTAAAATGTTAATCGGCCTCTCTGTGTAATGGATGCTTTAGTCATCATTAAGTGTCAAGGGGACGAGAGTTAATCAGTCAAGTTGTAAGCTTTAGTGCTCATTTTCTTCAGTTTCCTATCAGGGTTATGATACCGAAATTATATGAACACATTTTAATTTGATATTTTCATTTATGGGTAATGCTTACTAGATTTGATATCCTGTGAATTAAAGATCAACATAACTGACTCTTTAGTGGAACTTAAGGGATTATATATATATTATTCTCTTTTAAACACGCTGTAGTAGCAAGGATCAGAGGTCTCAATTCGAAAATTAAGTTCATATGGATATTGGATCATGTTTATCCATAGCTGAAACTAAAAATTTGATCATTCTCCATTTGCAGTTCTCTTTGTCGTGCTACTTCTTGTACGCCGTTCTCTGTGGTTGACCTCTGATCAATGGTTAAAGTTGCTTTTCTTGGATTTGCTCTCTATATTATTCGAGTCTCTCCTAAATATAGTACTGCAATCCCCTAGTGCGGATTCGCTACTCATTCATTCAATTGGTCATGGTGCAGAATGTCTGATGGTCTGTAGTAACTCTTCTAGCAGTTTTGATTTAAATAGAACAAAATATTAGTGAAACTGTCTCAGGATTTTTGGTTCAAATTTGTGCCTTGACCCTTTGATGTGGTCTTTCGATAGCATATACTTTTAGTGAAATTAGTGGTTACCTGATCAACTATCAGTGATAATGCCAATTAACCATGTCTAATCACTAGTCAAGTAATCAACTCAATTACAATGAATGTATGGCTTATGGTGTTCACTGAGCATGTTTTGTGTTTTCATCGTAAGATACTCCGTGCACCAAACAATGTTATCCCTCTTTGTTTTAGGTCCTATTTTCTTCTGATTTGAATTTGAAATGTTGATCCATTACAGATCAAGGAGATTTTATGGGATTTCTCTTTCCCTAATCATCATCAACATGGCTGCCATAATGGAGCGTGCTGATGAAAATCTCCTTCCAGCTGTTTACAAAGAAATCAGTGAAACTTTTAAGGCAGGGCCATCTGATCTTGGTTATCTCACATTCATAAGGAATTTCGTCAAGGGAATTGCATCACCAGTGGCAGGTATTTTAGTCATAAACTATGACCGTCCCCCTGTTCTTGCAATTGGTATTCTTTGCTGGGCACTGGGTACTGGTGCAATGGGTGCTAGTAAGTATTTTTTTCAGGTTGGATTCTGGAGGGCAGTAAATGGCTTTGGACTGGCAATTGTGATACCTTCACTACAGTCCTTTATAGCTGATAGCTATACGGATGAGGCTAGAGGAACTGGATTTGGTTTTCTTAATCTTATTGGAACGTTGGGTGGGATAGGAGGTGGAGCTATTGCTACAGTTATGGCTGGCTATGAATTCTGGGGAATTCCAGGATGGCGCTTTGCCTTCGTCATGATGGCAACATTAAGTAGTTTGATTGCATTTCTTGTATTCAAATTAGTTGTTGATCCAAGAAGAGGAACCAGCATAGAGCATGTCATCGCAAAAAATAGTACTGACAGGTTGGGGTTGCTTGTTTAAGTTCCATTAGATTAGTCAGAGACATTGTATGCTCTAGTTAACCATCCTTTCACTCTTTTTTGCGATCCTGTTTTAGGAAGGACTTGATAGAGAAGGGACATACCAATTCAATGTCGATTTGGATGGAGTCTTGGACAGCCATGAAAGCTGTCATTAAAGTGCAAACGTTTCAGTGCATTGTTCTGCAGGGTCTGGTTGGGTCCTTACCTTGGACAGCTATGGTTTTCTTTACATTGTGGTTTGAATTAATTGGTGAGTAGCCTGTATTTCATGTTTAGTAAGGTGCCTGCTCTTTCAATTGCCAATGTTGATTGTATTAATCAGTTCATGATATGATGATGCAGGTTTTGATCACAACAGTGCAGCAGCACTAGTCGGTCTATTTGCTGCTGGATGTGCATTAGGGTCCTTTTCTGGTGGTGTCATCGGAGATAGAATGTCTCGCCTATACCCTAATTCAGGCCGTATCATGTGCGCGCAATTTAGCGCTTTTATGGGCATCCCATTCTCATGGTTCCTTCTTCGAGTTGTCCCCCAGTCTGTGAGCAGCTATTTCACATTTGCTGTGACTCTATTCCTGATGGGGCTAACAATCAGCTGGAATGCTACTGCTACAAATAGTCCGCTTTTTGCTGAAGTCGTGCCTTCAAAGCACAGGACCATGATTTATGCATTTGATCGCGCGTTTGAGGTTTCATTTTCTTCCTTTGCAGCTCCAGCTGTAGGAATTCTTGCAGAAAAACTATATGGTTATGATTCCAAGTCTGTCGATCCGCTGTTAGGATCAGCAAAAGAGGCCTTAGCATTGTCAAAAGGCCTATTCTCAATGATGGCAATGCCTTATGGTTTATGTAGCCTATTTTATACCCCTTTGTATTGGACATACAAGCAGGACCGTGAGAGTGCAAGAATTGCAAGTATAAAAGAAACAGAGATGATTTGACAATCACACCTCTTCACTTCCTTGACGGTGCTGAATCGTGTAGATGTGTTATTCTGGCATCAGATATTCTGAGCACTCCAGTGTTATAGCAGTTTGCTAAGCATGACTGCGGTATATATCAGAAGGTGATCTGCTCATGGAAGCTAGGATTTGCATGCAGAGACGAATTCAGGACTTAGTCGGTGTGTTCAAAGTACGTGCAATATTGTAATACGTATACATTTAAAATTTTGTTTTGCATATGTACACATAGTTCAAGCTGATTGCAATGAGTTTAATTGAACCCAGAGAACCAATAGAATCAGTGTGTTCAAGTGAACACATAGTTCAAGTTGCCAATATAATTTTTGAAGAAAATAGCACACGATATGTTGCAACGTGCAACATCTTGCACGTTTGCATGTTTTATTACATATCTGTGGGCTGTGGCACTGAAACTGTAAATAGAAAGAAATGCTATATGGTGAAATTCTGTTTCTTCTTTCAAGTTTATTGGTATTTTTCTTTCGCTTCCTCTTTCTTTTTAGCCAAATTGTTCGGCCACACATGGTTAGTCCTTTTATTTCTTTTCTAGATGGAATACTTGAAACCACGTCAAAACAGTGATTGTACAGAATGTTTCACTACACATGAAATACTAGTTTTTTGTGCTACTATGGTGTACATGCATGGTATCTAGTTTCCTTGTTGGTGCATACCATGTTATTTACCCTACTAAAGTTCTAAGAATTCCTTATCAGCTATAAATTCTTATTGTTCGAGCGATGAAACATACCAAGAAAACATGTCTGGTCTTTTCCCTATCAAATTCCTGATAACTGATGTTCTCAAATTATCACAATGGAAAACGAAAATGGCATGTAGGAACGGATAAAAACAAGTTATAGTGAATGAATCTTTAACCAGTATATGTTCAGCATTGAATCACTCAATAATCAGTACACTCGAATTATTGAGCTGTAAGTTTGTCAGCAGGATTTACAGTCAGCACAGTTTCTATAGACCATATTGCCTTAACTCACGTTTGATGATTGAAACAACTTAGTGTTGTCTCTGCAGCAGCATACGAAACTTTGACTGCCATTGGCAAGTCTAAGGTAAAAGCTTAACAAGGGAGGCTCAGGATATGCTGGATTTCATCCATAAAATATAAGTGATGCTGCTGTATATTATGTTATGGAAGAAAAAGGTAAAAGAGAAACATCATCTACCTAAAAGAATATAAAACGAACAGATACACAACATGAGAAGAATTATATTTGGCAAAAAGGATATGGCGCCGTTGCCGGGGATCGAACCCGGGTCACCCGCGTGACAGGCGGGAATACTTACCACTATACTACAACGACTGCTTGCTGTTTCCCTTAAGCAAGATAGTATAATATCAGTAAATTAGTGTTAAAATCAACTTCGATGTATGAGACATTGCTCCTAATTATCTTAGGAAGAGATGCTTTCCTTACCTACTCCAGGGAAAAAAAAAAACTCTCTTCCCTGAGCCCAAAAGACCGATAGTGACATGCATAATATAAATTGACTTGTGAGTTTGGATATGAGACTATTGATTTTAACGCTTTAAGTCATGAACCAAATTGATATGTATTTATATTACCCTCAAATAGTGTCATCCTAGTGTGTGTGTGTATATGTATAATATATTATTCACACTCACATGTAAAGAAAAAATTGTGAAGCATCGGATACACTCTAATTACCAAAGGGTGTCTCTGCTACTGAATTACAGTGAACACAGGAATTGATGACCTTATATCCTTCACCCACAAGATCAATTTCAAACCCCTAAAGCCAACAATGTAATCTCTGGCTTCTGATCAAAAGCATGTACCTAGGAGTGGCAAAACGGGCGGGACGGGGCGGATATAGTTCGGGTCAAAAAACGGGTAATGAAAAAACAGATAAATTATCCGGCCCGGCCCATATTTAATACGAATAAAAAACGGGTTAACGACGGATAATATGGGTGCATATGATCACTTTGGGGATAATTCTTAGTCTCTCTAACTTGAGGAACCCCCAATTTGAGGCTTTACAAATGTAAAAGTTTGACCCGTTGGTTACCCATTATTACCAATTTTCTAAATAGATAATATAGTTCTTGTCCATATTTGACCTTTTTTTAAGATGTTCATTATCCAACCCATTTTTCAGTAGATAATATGAATATTTAACTGTTTTTTTTTGACCATTTTGCCACCACTAGCTATATCAGAGAATAAGTTAGAAATATATATGTCCAATTTATCATCACTACTACTGCAAAAAGAAACCAAATAAGACAAAAAAATAAAAGGAAGAAAGAAAGAAAAAAGAGCTACTATGACCCCATCCTTGAATTGCTGCCTATTCATGATTGCACAATTGTAATTTTTCCCCTATCATGTTCATTAGTGCCAGCATAGATGAGTATAACTTCTCTACTAACAACATAACTAGTAATATAATTTTTATTAAATAATCGTTTATAACAAGTAAAATGAATAATCCCCTTAAAATATACATAAGAATTTTACACTATCAATCAATATATATATATATATATATATATATATATATATATATATATATATATGAATAAAATCCTTGATCGGTAAATGATGGAAAGAGAATCTAAGAAAAGGACAGTTTATTCTTTATAGCATGCAATAATATGGCAAAGAAAAATGCTATTGTTGCTGTTTCTTGATTTATGCTTCTCTCTCTGCCTTGTTTTTCTTCTCATCCACAAACTCCACCAAGACAAGCACCCACATAATTGCCTGATGCACATCTGCTTCACTTTCTTTCTCTGTCCCTGTCCCTGTCCCTGCACCTGCTGCAACAGTTCCTCATTTCTTTTCGTGTCTTCTTCCTCTGATTTTGTTTCTTTCACTTCCACCTGTACATACATACATTTACGGTACGTACACAGAAAACAATGTTTTGTCAATAAGGCTGCTCTTTTGTTAATTTTATTTGAGTATTCTTTCAATTTTATCAATGAATATAACTTAACTTAAATTAGCGATACCCAAGTTTTTCTCACTCTTGGGCTCGTTTATTTACCGGGTATAAAGTTCATAATTATGTTATACTTCGTTTGAGTTTTTGTTTTCGATATAATATAAGTAATACCGGAAATTTAGCATATTTTATACTACCTCCAACATGAGATAACAATTCAAGAATTAGCTAGCTACACCAGGATAAAAACAAGTAAAATAACAAATTATTCTTCTATTAAGAAGGTCAAGTTTAAAACTAGAAATAAGAGTTTATCATGTTTAAAGTCAAATACATCTTTGATTATTACATTTGTGTATCGCATTTAGATGCAAAGAACCAAATAAATCATAAGTAATAAATAATCTGGGGATCAAATTTTACGCATTATAATTCCAGCATAACTTTATTTGCGGGCCAAACGTCATAAAAGGTGGGGAAAACAGTAGTACTTATTAATTAGATCATGTGGTTTGTGTTTGTGGGGTTGTGCATTGGTGTTTGAAAGAAACTTATATATCTTGCATGAATTATTAATGAGGGAGTACGTAACAGTATATGTGACAGATATTTATTAAGACATGAGTATAGGGGAATTTCTGTTCCCTCTAGTATAGGAAAACCTGTTAACCATTATTAGTTTAAAAAAAAGAAAATATGAACAAATAAGAGAAAATACCAAAGCCTCACTTGTCCACAGAAGAAGCACAAACATTTGTGCCCACAAAAGCAAGTGATTTGCATGTGCTTGGGTGAATTATATATGCTGATAGATGTTCCAAGGGACAATTATATATATATAGTCCCCCACCAATATAATAATATATAGGGCAATAGTCTATCAATATCATGATATTCAGACAATCTAGTCTTTCAGTTACTGTTGTCCCCATCATCCACTATATATGATTCTTGGATGGTAGGCCATGGTCCAAAGTTGAGAATTATTGAGATAGTACTGTTTCCTTTGTCTTAATTAATGTGACGCTTTACTCCTTTCAAAATATCTGACATAATTCTGCTAAATATATAATTTTATACTTTCATGAGTTTCTACAATTCAAGGCTAGTTGACTAATTAAATTTAGATTTTAATAAAGTCAATCTAATATACTAGTAATTAATTAAACTATGATCAATTGAATCGCGCCACATAAAATGTGAATGACAGTTTCTATGGCTGTTAATTCTTAATAAAACTAATTATATCCTAATGGAAAAAAGAAAAAGAAAAAGACAAGAAAAAAGAGTGAAATTAAAAATTTTGATATATAGGTCCATAGATGTTGGGTTTTTAAAAATGATGGGGCAGCAAAAAGTTTTAAAATATTAATTAAAATCTGCAAAATAAATATTCAAATTCAAAAATATAAAATATCTCAACTAACATATCCAATTAAATTTAAATTTAAACAAAGCTCTACCTACGACTGAACTACTTATTATTCTAGTAAATCAAATATCAGCCGTAACAATTAACAAATGCAAAATCCAACAATAAACAAGAACCAAAAGAAAAGGATTTTTACGAAATGATCAAGTTGTGCATAATATAATTCTCTAAAATTATTTTGCATGAAGAGTGTAGTAAAGCATACAAACATTTCATAAGAGAGGATTCAGAAGGTACTAATAATTACCTCTTCCTCAGATTTTAGTTCTGGAGTAGTCATAGGGGAGTGATCATCTGCATCACTCAGCTTTATGGATCCTTCTTTAATGGATGGAGTAGTCATACTCATTGGTGACGAATCAGCTGCTTCACTTAGTTTTATAGACATTTCTTCAATTGATGGAGTTGGAACTGGACTTGGACTATTAGAACTGACATAATTATAAGCTTGTATGCTTTGTGTCCCCATATCTCTTCTTATGCTAACATCTTTCTTCTCTAAAATTGCAAGTGTGAAAAAGAAAAAAAACATTATGAGTAGAATAAATGATACTTAATTAGTTAATACTAGTGTTTAACATATAATTAAGTTAAAAAAAATGTACTTTTCGTCTGTTCCTAACAATTTAAGCCTTTAGATTAGGTAATCACACATTCAATGTGGTATCACGCAGAGATCTTGAGTTCATGTCTCATCAACACCTATTATCAGGGGCGAAGCTATGTTGGCCGTAAACTGACCACCCTTCGCCGAAAATGTATACTACGTATAAGTTAAAATATTATTTGTTATTGATTAAAAATAGACTTCGAATACCCTTGCATAGCCCACTGACAAATTTGAACACCCTTATAGAATTTCCTGGTTTCGCCACTGCCTATTATATATAAAACAAGAATTTTTACGTATTTGGCTAATGAAGAAGAATTAGTTTGGCACATGAGGAAGGTTGAAGATATAATTAATAAAATAAAAATGTGCCCTCTATAACTACTTACGCTATTACATGAGGTAGTCACACATTTTCAACAAACATACATTAATGAAGAAACAAAATGAAAAACAAGTGTTTGTACCTTTGCTTGGGATTTGGTTTTCAACATTATGTGTAGAGAAAGAAGGCTTTGCAGGGTATTTTGTTTGAAATTGTCCTGTACTCTGAATATGAGAAGGATAAATGAGAGGTGCTGAGACAGCAATTCTGCTATTTGATTGGCGAAATGATCTGTCATTCAGTGTTTTTGTAGATAAACATTCCAAAGGAACTTCCCCTGACAATGGATTGCATATGTATTTCTCAGCTTCATTCCACTTTGAATTTAGAGCTAAACCATCTGGTGACATGTATTCCCAACTATATAATGTTTTTGCCTGCAATGCTGCACACGAAAACAAACACAAAATTAGGTAAAGTTGAAATTTATCATTCATCATAATCATCTTTATTGTTTCAAATTACTCACCTTTCAGGGCAGTGGTAAAAGAATATTTAGATGGATCAATTTCCTCTGCAGAAAAAAATTAAACATTTGTAAGACACAATATTACAAAATACAAACCATGTTTTTATACGCAATTCAAGATTTCGTTTGTGTTCATGTTGGCGATTTATGATGCGAATTATGGAAAGTGAGAAGAAAATGGTACCTCTTAAGGTGTAGCCAGGAGAAGAAGCAGTGCTTGAAATTATTACATTTGATCTAAAAGATTTTGCATTTTCTCTAAAACTTCCAATATAAGATGCTGAGTACCTTCTTGAATTAGCTTTTTCTCTGCTAAGTTTAGACTTTAGAGCCCATTCTCTCAAATTGAACTCTGCTTCATCTGGCTTTCTTGAGCTTCCAAAAGCTGACTGTTCCATGCTAGGTTCTAGTTTCATGGATATACTATTGATGGCACTAAAACTTTTTGATTTTTAACAAATAGGAGGGAGGGTAAGTCCAAAAACCCTCTAGTTGCAGAATCAGCAAAATAATTCAAGAGCATGAACTTAACATGTAACTTCCAAAAAAATAAATGTAAAATAGAAATTTCCAACCTTGTAGGCTGTAGCAACCTATGCCATGTTATAAAAATTGGAAGTGAAAAATCACCAAATGAGCTAAAAGTGGGCCACATGAATATTTGGTTTATTTGCAAGTAGTAAGATCAGACAGAGCTCTAATCTGATCTTGCTTTTGCATAATATAAAAATGAAAGGGAAGCTTGGTGAATAATTGTAATTAAGTTAGCAAATTTACTTGGTTTCGGCCATGCAATACTCCTAACACGAGTTTAAAAAGAATGACTTTTGAAATTTGTAGCCTAAAACATACCATAAATATGTATTTGGTTATAAAATCATGTCATTAAAGGTAAAATAAAAATTTAAAGTTAAATTACTTCTAAAAATTAAAATGTTTCCTTTTTTATGAAAATGTGTGTCACATAAAATTGGACAGAAGGAATAATCATCTCTATTTTTGTTGGTCAGTACTCAGTACCCAATCTAGGAGCTGAAATACTACTCTATGTCTGCAAGAGCATGCAGTTTCGCCCTTACATTTTGGTACAAATAACAAAGTACAAGATAGCCTGGAATTTTATGTTGATTCACCAAAACATTATATACATGGCTGTGAATTGTGATCCATGTTGATTTTTTATTAGCCTTATGGATTAAGTCATGTGGTTAATGAGGAAAGCAACTTAAAGAAGTGATCACAAATCATTGTGTACTTCGAACTCCTAATAGAATTGTTTGAGATTTACATGTAGAAGAACCTAAAATTGCATATAAGTTTGAATTAGCTCTGAGATGATTAGAACTTTCTCTTATTCTTAAAATCACAGCTAGGTCTTCTTGTGAGTTCACAAAATTCAATTAATATCAACTTGATTAGTCCTTTAGGGAGTTTCTATATGGTAAGCTCGCAAAGCTTAATAAATATGAAAATTAGCCAACATTGAAAAGGACATGTACTCCGGGCAACATTCTCAAGTTTAAAGAAATGATTCCTTCTTGATCATGATATTCATTTTCTTGGCTGCAAGAAGATATCCAATGAAATAAGGACATGTGTTGCTAGTCAATCCAATTCATTGCTATATCCAACGGGAATGATATGTTTTCAAAGAATTGATGAAGGGGCATTCCACAATGTTGGGTTATATTCAGTCTAGGTTGGAAAGATTGTGTTGAAAAAGAAAGGAGAATAGTGGACGGTGGTGGATATATACAGGGAGTGGAAGAAATCTAATGACAAGTGAAAATTGTATTTTAAAGAGAGAGAGAAGATTGATGTATGCATGTGTTCATTTGTGGACATCCATGAATCCATGTGAAGATGTCAAGATCATTATCTTAATACTAGGTAGGTCCCCTTCTTCTTCTTGCTGGACATTTTGGTGATCACCCTCAGGTTTTGTCTCACGTGTATGCAAAGTAGGTTTCATGGCAGAGGATAGAGACGTTGTTTTATGTCTCATTGGGTTATTCGATCCTTCTTCACTTCCGGTATTTTTATCCGATTGGTTTTAACTTGTTCGATCCTCCAAAAATATCTAATCTTCTAAAAAATTCTCACTCTTGGACGATCCAACAAAAATAATTATATTTTTTTGAGAATCTGAGCAACATAAGTGATTGACACCTAAGGAGCTTTAATGCCTGGCAAACAAATATGCAATCGTTCTACAACAATATGCAAAAGGGTTTCAACTGGTCTGACAATCATGCAATACGTATAATAAAAGCCACAACATGGCCCAAAGGTATCTTCATAACAAAATAAATCACCTCAACAAAACGACATCCAAATACAAATCCGTAACACCACATACACCAACTCAAGTTTCATAGAGCTTAGAGTTATGAGTACATTAAGTTACCCACTGACAGAGTATAGGTGCTTATGTTTGGCTTTTAAAATAATATAGTTATAAAAAAAAACCTTTGTACTATCCGTGGACAAAAGCTAACTTCATTAGTTGATTGAATGGGGGCTTTATTGGCTCATTTGCACACAAAATTGGACTCAAGTGGGCTTAGTGGGAGGCTTAGGGCCACAGCAAAGGCAAGTCTGGGCACTCAAGAGGAGATGGCAGTCAACTTCATGCCTGACACTAACATGCATACTAATACTAATACTATCAAGTGCCCACTATCTGGTCTCACTTATGGAGTAGTTTCCACCTCAATGGACAAGATACCCAAAGAATCTTTTACTATGCAGTTCACCAACCACATTCGGAACAGCAGCAAGATGAGGTAAGACAAGGCTAAAAGTTACAGAAGCTGTCAACTGTATATACAGCAGAGCACAATATATAGTTCATACACTTCTAAATGTTTATACCATATCACAATTAAGCTGCATATGAGTACAGAAGTTGGTAAAACAGTAAAGAGTCATCGCCAAGTCTATGAAAATACTCATTTTTTGTTGCTATGAAAATACATATTGTTATACGACCAAGATGACAAGTTGGTACTCAATATTTCAAATGACCTCAAGACACATCAGATAGCAACAAGCTGGTTATAAGATAATGCTACCATTAAATGCAGTTCAAATAGAAACAACAAAAGGATGTGGATGGAGAAGGCACATTACAGACAAAACTAGATACAACTGCAGTTACAATATTCCTAGAGGTGACTGACAAAACGTTACAACCAGAAGGTAAAGGTAACATATTGAAATGCAATATTCAGATCCTATCCTCTACCCTCTTCTTTTCTGGTACTGTGAATCTGCAAGTCACAGAAAGAAGGGTGAAAGTACCATCCATAAGAGAAGCCGTTACCCACTGAATTCCTCCAAGGAACTGCAGGTAAGATGATAACAATGGTTGTTGATCTTAGCTAGGCAGGCATCTCTTGACATGTTACAGAACATATTTAGTACCTGGGTTCTACCAAGTGGTTGTCAAAAATCATAAAAGATCTTAAGCAATAGCTTTACTATTCTGAGATGGAAGTATCTCCTGGACTTTGTGAGCT